TTACACGGGGCAACATCCCCCTTAATACCGACAAGGTGTTTTTTAAACCGGTAAATGCCTCCATTAGTATCATTTTTACAATAATTATATTTAATACGGTTTTTGTCATTCGGATTCGGGTTATAACCATACTTCCAACTGGGATCATCACTTCTAGAAGAACCTGCAGAAGATATTTCCGTAGAACAATGCTCATTTTCATCATTTTGTGGTTCTTTTAAATTCAGAAGTTGTCTAATCTCATCCCGAATAGTTTCAGGAACCTTTTTACAAGAAGCAACATTCCCTTTAATACCAGCAAGGTGTTTCTTGAATCGGTTAATACCCCCATTGGTATATTTTTCACAAAAATTACACGTTATACAATTTTTATCATTTGGTTTTGGGTTAACCATAGTTCCAACCTAGATCACTTCTTCCAGAAGTAGCAGAAATAGATCTATTCAAATGACAAGGACTATGGATCACTTATTCTAGAAGTAACAGAAATAGATCTTTTCAAATGACAAGGATTTTGTTCTTGTTTTTGTTTTACAGATCTCATATATTGCTTAATCTCCTCTCTGATAGCTTCAGGAACATTTTTATAAGGGGCACCAGCCCCCTTAATATCGGCAAGATGTTTCTTAAACCGGTTTATGCCTCCCTTTTGTATCTTTTACAAAATTGCATCTAATACAATTTTTGTCATTTAGATTCCGGTTATATCCATATTTCTAACCCGGATCTCCACTTGACTAGATCCTGATGAAGACATCTTAAAATAAAACAAGCAATCTAAAAAATAAAGTTTTTCACTTACTTTGATTGCTCGAACTTTAAACTCCCATATCTAAGATGTTTTCTGGTGCTAAAATAAAGAAAAACACCCTCTAATAGGATGATAAAACTCCAAAACTAAATCAAATCTACCTGGGTGATGTTTGGATCCGTTTTTTGTGACGTTGAGAAACAATTTGATCCAATGAAAGTCACAAAATTTAGTTTTCTTGAGGTTTCTTTTTTTCTAAAATGGGTTCTTGTGGGTTTAGGTTTCAAATGAACCTAAAAACCATCCTCAAAACCCTTTATGTTTAAAAAAAAATCAATACAACGAAAAAAATTTCGCCCCTAAGTGGGGCGCAGGCCCTTGGCAGCTGCCCAGGGCTGGGTGCCCCCCCTGTTCGGCGCCCTGGCCTACTGGACCGTCTAGGCGCTGGGCGGTTTGCTTTTTTGAATAATTGCTCATGCAAAGATTTTTTTGGTCGGGGGACTCTCCAACTCACAAGTTCCATCTTGTCTCATAGGACAAACTGTGCTAGCAAAAGTGCCTAGGTGGACTTGGCATACGGAACATAAGGAAACATAATGTAGCCGTACTTGATAAATGGTGGTGGCATCTTGCTACACAAGGAGATCAACTTGGGATGCAGACCCTCCAATACAAATATCGCCTGGACCCCTCATCGTGGCTGCTTGATTTGCGGGGCCAACAACAGATCGTTTGGGGTATGGAAATCCATTTTCTCATCCTACAGCCTCTTCAAAAACCTTATTCACTTCCATTTCAAGGGTGGGCATCAAATTAAATTTTGGTCCTGGTCCGACCTTTGGATGGGCCATAGGCCCCTGAAAGATATTTACCGTTCCTTGTTTAGCCTGGCCCGTTACCAAGCGGCTACTGTAGCTGATGTAATGACTATATCGGGTCCCACTAGAACATGGAACCCAAGACTCTAAATGACCTTGAAACAATCAATTTTACTAGCCTGGTTGCCACCCTCCATTCTACTTTCCTTGCTTAGCAGGGTATTGAACTTATTATCTGGACCCCTAGCCCTCTGGGGTCTTCCCAGTCTCATCCTTAAGACCCCAGTCTCATCCTTTTACCATAAACTCCTTCAACCGCCTACTTTCCCCCTAGCCCCCACTTCCATCGCAGTCCAAGCCTTAGGACCCCAGTCTCATCCTTTTACGATAAACTCCTTCAACTGCCTACTTTCCCCCTAGCCCCCACTTCCATCGCAGTCCAAGCTTGGTCCTCCATAGCCCCAACAAAATCCAACTGTTCAACTGGTTGGCCCTATCTGAAAAGGGGTCTGCCCATCCCAAATAGGTGCATGATGTGCTGCGAAGATGAAGAGAACAAAGCCCACTTGTTTATCCTTTGTCCCATGGCGCAAAGTATATGGGGGCCCCTCCTCCAACTATTCAAGTGCCAATGGGTCACCCCTAATTCGGTTCCTATGCTGTTTTTCTCCCTTCGCCTTTTCCCCTGGCTCAAAGCTGGTATTTCTCTGTGGAAGGCCTCCATTGCTGCTGCCCTTTGGATAGGGCGCAACAGCAGAATTTTATGTGGTGAAAGGTCCTCGCTGAGTGATATGATTGAAAAGATCAAATCCCTTGTTATTTTTTGGGCTTCTAATCACAAACTGTTCAAAGGGACTCCCCACTCGGCTTTCTTCCAACATTGAGAATTCTTACTCTACACTAGGAAAGCTAGCATCACCCGTGGTTCCCTTGTGGATTCCACCTACCTGATTCCAATATGGTAGAGGCGCTCGCTCTCCTTGAGGGCCTAAGGCAGTGTTTTAAAAAGCGGACCGCCCATTTTTTGCGGTCTAGAAGGTTTGAGCGCATCGCCCAGGCCTAGGCGGTCAAATTAGGCGGATATCCCTGGCGCTCGCCTAGGCGCCCAAGAACCTGCCTAGGCGCCCGCCTGAACCCTCCTAGGTGGCCGCTCAGGGCTTGCGCCCCGCCCAGGTTTGGAAATGAGGCTCTTTGAGGGTTTTTTTGGGTCATTTTTTTTAATACTAACGGGGCAAAATTGTGGGTTTTAGGGGCTATTTTATAGAGTGAAAACCCATTAGAGGCTATTTTATAGAGTGAAAACCCCAATTTTCTTTTTTCTATTGGGCCGCTTAGGTTCTGGGCGCCCGCCTAGGCGCTGGGTGGCCTGGACCCCCCCCGACCACTTAGGTGCCGCCTAGCACTTTTTGAAACACTGGCCTAAAGCTTTTTAATCCCCTGTGGAGTCTTTCTTTAGTTGTGGAGGGGGACTAAAAAATGTGATCCGGTGGGCCTTTGGCCTTGGACCATTGCTCAATGCTCATATATTGTGCACATTTGCAGGCGTATGCATGTCTCATGGAGACATATATGGCGGGAAGGAAACCACGAAGCTGACTCTCTTACGAAGGAGGCTGCATCATCTTTCTAACGTCCCCTTTTGTTACCTTTTCTAGCTCTTCCATGGACTACCATTTTGTGATTTGTAATTACCTAGAAATTCATACTGGTGTTTTTTGTTTACGGTCTACTTAGGAGGGACCTTTACATTTTTGTACAGAGCTCCCCATCTTGGGGAGCCATTTTTTGTGAAGAGCTTGTGGGACGCCTCATTTTTTGACCTAATGGCCTTCCTCTCTTTAATAGTGTAGAAACATTAATCTCTTAAAAAAAATTTGTTTTGGGAATCGACTCAACCAGGTACTTGCCACTGGCCTAAGGGGAGCTACTCGAGTTGACTCGCCTGAGTCAAGCCCGATAACAGTTAGGGTGGAGAGAAACTAAAAAGGCAGAAAAAGGCCGAAAAATTAGAAAAATCGAGATTAATAGAAAAGATGAAAATTTTCTCAATAAAAAGATTTGTTGGCCCCAAAAATCATAGGGATGAAAAATACACCATTTTTCAGTAATTAGTCAAATAAATCAGTATGGGGTTATTGAAGAGGGTTGAATCATGTTCAAATAGGACCAACTTTCAACAGATTTGGGCAAAAAATGAGGGAGAAATCGGTGGAATTTCAGATAATTTAGGATTTGTTTTAAAAAACTCTTTGTTCACTAGAAGTGACAATTTTTGCGCCAGATCTCTCAGTTTCCATCCTTTAATCCAGCAAATAAATATAGGGATTTGTAGAGGGCTGATTTGAGAAAAAAGGCTCCAGGTTTCAATGGATTTGAGTGAAAAACAAGAGAGAATCCCATATTTAGGTGGATAGGTTAAAAAGAACAGCTATCTTCACTAAAAAATCAATGAATAAATCCCTACATCACAAGTTTAGATCCAAATTAATCGAAGATAATGACTGATTTGGACGAAGAAAAGGAAAATATATAGGCCTAGTAGAGAAACATTTGAATTCAATATTTATCAAACTTCTGATATTTTTTTGTTAAACATCACTAGTGGCGAGTTGTACATGAGTCCTCGGAGTAACTCAGCTTGCCAAGGGGGCCAGTCCCTGTCACTTGGCTGTGTCTGAAAGTACTGTTTTGATTCGATATTATTTTTTATAAACAAACTTTTTAATCAAGATTATTGTTTCTATTGATTTCTTGTTGATTTTTAGCTCAACTTTTCTTTCATCAATCAAAAAGAGGGTATGCATTTATGATCTTTGTACAAAATTTTGGTTCTTGAACCAATGAACAAAATATCCCAAAAAAATTGAAAATGTTTAATAACAAAAGACATCGTTTCATCCCATCTCTAACCAGCTGATCAGCCATATTGTTTGAGTCTCTTTAATGTTTCAAAAGTATATATGACCCATAAGGTCATTATAACACTTTGATCATGTGCTATCGATGGATGTAGTGATGAGGGAAGAGTGGATCATGTAAAGCATGTCATGAGTTCAATAGTATGTCCGACTTTCCCTCCATAACCATCCAACCTATAGATTTCATGGTGATGACCCATGCAAACATGCTGTTATGATGGCCTCGTTGGATCATACTCAACTTTCCAAGTGTTTTAATGCATGACATAATTTATATAAGGAATAAATTTTGAGCTCTCGGCCTTCCTAGTTCAAACTGGTGCTACACCCCCGGAAGTAAGCGTAGAATGATCTTGAAGTCTGACCATTCTAGGGCTTGTTTATGAGGAATCTGATGCATCTTGGTTATAACAAAGGAAAAAATAGACAGAGCACCATAATGGGAGCATTTGCTTGAGCAAACCATTAACTAGCTTACGCTCATTTGATGGATAGATTCATGCCTTTATGCAGGTTTATGATCCCAATGAAGATGACCCCTACATGGAATATTCTTGCACAGAATGCCATGGTTCAGGGGATGAGCATCTCCTTTTACTCTGTGACCTATGTGACTCAGCTGCCCATACATATTGTGTTGGCCTTGGAGAAACTGTACCCAACTATGAATGGTATTGCTGTGACTGTAAAACTTCAATGAATGAACACAGCGACACCCAGAGAGATGCTGAAGAAAATTATATCCACACCTTTGAACCTAGTTTTCCTGGGGATTGTGATGGATACATTTCACCCTCTGAAATTGTGAGGGACCAAAGGGAAGATGAGTCATCCAAGCCTCCGACACGTGGGACGCAGACTGGAGAAAGAAAAGTAAATAGAAGAACCCAAAGTGACAATTCACATTCTGTGGTGCCCTCGTCACCGATTGTTATTCCTGGAGTGAGGAAGTCTTCTTCTTTGGGTTCTAATAAATCAGGTCCAGGTGTGAGAACATTGTCCCGCTGCAGAGATTTGCATGGTCGTATAAGGATTATGCGTGAGAATTGGGATGCATTGAGAAGTGGGTCAATGATGTTTTCTTCAAGGAACACCAGTGGCCAATCAAGCCAATCACATTCTGTTTCTTTTGCGAATGACCAGGTAATGGCTTTGGAAAAGCATACCGGTGTTAGAGAGGAGAGTAGTATAGATACATGGGATGCTAATAAAGCTTGGAGAATGATGGAATTGGCCCAGTCCATGACGGGTCGAGGTAAAGGAGCCAAGTCCAACTTGAGATCAGTGGATTATTCTGCTGGAAGAGAAGTAAGGAGCACATCGATATCCTTGGAACCAAAATATAAGCTCAGTTCTGGTGGAGGAATCGATGATAGCCGCACTAAATTTGGAGGTTGTTTAGCTGGTCCTATTTTAATGGGTTCTGATGTTTCGATGAAGAGACAGAGATCTTCGGCTGGTGAAATTAGTGCTCTTACCCCTTCTAAACATAGGGATGGTTTGGTTGTTCCCAAGAAAATGGGTTCTGATATTTCTTCTAATGGAGCAAAACCTGGAGGTTGTTTAGCTGGTCCTATTTTAATGGGTTCTGATGTTTCGATGAAGAGACAGAGATCTTCGGTGGGTGAAATTAGTGCTCTTACCCCTTCTAAATATAGGGATGGTTTGGTTGTTCCCAAGAAAATGGGTTCTGATATTTCTTCTAATGGAGCAAAACCTGAGATATTACCAGCATGCAACTTTGCTAGTCTTATCCCTGCTAAAAATAGCAGGGGTTTGGCTATTCACAAGCAAATGGGTTCTGATGTTTCTTCTATTAATGGAGTGAAACCAGCGGTATCTTCTGTGGGTGATTTTAAGATGGGTTCTGATATTCCTTTTAGAACAAAATCTGAGAGTTCCTTGGCCCCCTACTTTGCTATTGTTACCCCTTCTAAAAACAGGGAGAAAAATGACCAGCGTTTGGTGAATCCAGGGCGAATAGGTTCTGATATATCTTCTAAGAGAGATGACCCTACAGTATCCTCAGCAAGCATTTCCCGTCAGATGGGTCCCGATACTTCTACAAGTGGATCAAATGGTGGTGTTTTTCGGGGAAGAGAGAGAGTGGCGAAGACATTAATGAGAACTTCAGATTCTAATGAAACTGTAAGACAAGATCATGCTGACAAGAGCCAGGTTCAATCAATGGTTAAGCTCAACATGAAGCTTCTGAGGAAAAATTGCGAGCTAGGTATGTTTTCTTCAAACCCTAATTTTTCAACTATGCAAGAGAGAGAGAGAGAGAGAGAGAGAGTTAATTTTTTATTATTCCTACAATGTTGAGAGAGAAGAGAGAGAGAGAGAGAGAGAGAGAGAGAGAGAGAGAGAGAGAGAGTAGTAGTTTATTTATTACTAACTAGTATAGTATATATTATTACTTATTACTTATAGTAGTATCGTACTCGTTACTATACTACTTATTACTT